GTCTATTGGCCTTTTTGTTGTCTGACACCTGATAGGCTCTGGCATAGAGGAAGAGACGTTCCTGTAATTCATCAGGTGCATATTCTTATTTTGCACTTCTGTATCTCACACCATTGCCAGTTTTTCACATTCATTAGTACTTTTTTTCAAGTTATCTTTAAGGTGTTTTGAAGTTACCTTGCTCTGAAGTCCCTCATACCATTATAAGAAACTTAGTGACCGATACACTCCTATTTCCTTCTGTCACTGAGGATGCTAAATGCAGTTGCTGTCAGGAGTGGTCCATAAGTAATGGTCCATAAGCAACACCATTGCTGATTTTGTTTCAGTCTGATAATTGGGATCAAAAGGGTTAGAGGTGACTATCTTACTGGCCTTTTAATCTGAATCTGGGCAGCAGAGGTTGAAACCCACGTCTGGTGTCACTTAAAGCTATGGCATGAGTGCTTGGTAATTTTGATACGGTTTGTGTTTTACACACATGTAGAACTGCGATACCACTGTGGGATGCACAGATAACTTGCAGCTAGTCTTTACTAGTGTCTGTATTGGGTTTGTATTTAACAGGAGAGTTAGGATGATCAGTTGCTTTTACTTTAGCCGGTTACAAACTAGCTTTATCCAGCTTTGGCACTTGCAATTACTGATCTGTACATATCTTTGTAACTGCTTTTCAGTTTTCCTAATGTCCTTGAAGTTTAAAAAGAAATGCAATTGAAAAGGACAAAGGGGAGTTAATCACAGTACCATTTGCCTGTTGGTTCATGTTCAATGTTCTCTGTCCCTCCGAGGCTGCATTGTTCTCCACTTGGCAGTGGAGCATGGTAGTGCTTTATTTACTCTTCTGATAATACAGCTGCTCTCATGAAATTACACTGCGGTAAATGGAAGAAAATGTGAATGTAGTCATACTTGAGTATGTGTGCTCAAATGCTCTGATTTAGATATTGATAGTTTGTGGTTAGTCTTGCATGTCAACTTTACACTATTGAACTGTAGTGGATGTCAGTTGAAAGGACATGTCATCTGTAGTGAAGTCAAAGCTGTGCATTAAGGGGCTATTCTGCATAGAACATGTGCAAGTAGGAGAGCTGTGTCTTTCCAAGATTTGAAGACAAGGCTTTCGCAGTAATAACATTGAAATTGTGATGGTGAGAATCTGTTATTCCCATTTTATGAGTCCAAATAAATGAAGGTATTCAGAAGTCCTAGTCTGAATAGCAGTTAATTTTGTGTTCTTGTTCCTGTTCTTCTGAAAGTATATTCAAGAGGTGAACCTAAGACTGAGGCTTTAAACTTCCCTCAATTAAAATTTAACTTGGGAAAATACTTTATTAATGGACTTTTATTCTTTTGAATATTTTTTCATAGGCGGGACATGGTAATTCCAGAGTTAACAGTTATTAATTATTAATTATCCGTAGCACCTTTGACTTCCCTGATTTGTTGTTTGTTGGCGTCTAATTCACAATGTCTACTGATTCCAGCTTCCTCACTTTCAGGAACGCAGTCTAAAAATGCAAGCTAGAACATGATGAGTTAGTGAAAGGCTAAAGGCAGGATGTGGCTTGGATGGCAGTTAGATAGGGCTTGAAGAATAGCTGACTTCAAGAGTGTTGACCATTGCTACCTCTTACGTTGTCAGAGTAAACAGGCCAAGCAGATGCTTGTCTGTGGCCACAGTGTGCTTGGCACTATGGTCAGCAGCATGTAGTGGTTTAGTCCCGTCTAAGTTGTTTCCCTGGTGTGTGTCTGCAGCTTGTAGCCTAGTAGTGACCAATTATCTTTCTAGGGGTGAGTTTAGCTGTCATCTTTCTGTTTGGTTGCTGGGATTCTTGGAGTCCTGTAGTACCTTAACCTGGAAGAAAGTCTTTCGCTGGTCGCTTAAGGGGAGTGCTGTGATGGACACCAGAAAGTTCAGCTTGCTTTTGTCATATGCTGGGCTAGGTAACTGGTGACATTATTCTCATTTAAAAAGGCTGAGAAGTCAGGTCTTGTTTTCTTCCATCATCTCCTGTATTCCTCCTGCACTGCAGCTGTGGCTGTGCAGGAGGCTGTATCTAGCAAACTGAACTGTGTTTAGGAGGGGGGGTGGAGGAGAGGAGGAACAGCAGAGGAGAAACACATTCCTGAGAGTCCTTGTTATGGAGCATGAAGGGTAGGGGAGACTGCTCACTTATAAGTGTCCTCCACCCTTAAGCAGCTGTTCTGGTTTTGTCTGTTGGCATGCAGTGTTTGAACATCTCTGCAAGCCACAGATGTTTGACTTTGATTCACATACTGAGGCAGATTTGAGCCTTGTTCCTGATGCCAGAGCCTTCTGGCTAAGATTACCCTCATGCAAACCCTGCTCCCAGCTCCCACTTTACTAAGGAGCAACATTTTTGGTACATGTCAGTTCTGGTTCTTGGTCCTCAGTGTTTATAGCTGGAGATTGAGTCTTGGCTGTGGACATGAGATTTACTTGGAATTACGACAATTTTCTGTGAACTTTAAGTGGTTCCTGACACAGATCTTTTGGAGAGAGAAATGCACCTTTGTGTTCTGTGGCTTCAGAAAGTATTAAATTAAGAAAAACAAGGATAACATTAACGTAGCACAGCTTAGATCAGCTGTTCTTAATGTGTTCCCTAACCCAGTAAGAAAACAATTGTTGTGACTAGATGGTGTTAATACATTACTGGATGTGTGTGTGTCTATTCCAATAGTCTGAGGGCATCTTCTCTGTTGTTGTTATGCTTGTAATCCAGTGCTGGTCTAATGCTGTGAATATGTTTGAGAATAACTTTTCCACTAGTTTTTATATGATGGACATGGTGAACGTAGCCAGTTCTGTGCAAAGAATCAAGGAGTTGAGATGGGGTTTGCCTGGAACCTAGTAACTGTTTGATTGGTATCTAGCTGTAGAGCCCAGATGTGCCTTCCCTCCATCATGTGGCAGTGGTGGGAAATAGCCTGGAGAACCAGCCTGGTGCTTCAGGGGCCTGTGGTCATTCTAACGCAGTTTGCAATGAATCCGGTGGTGGAGAGGCTGTATGTCTCCCTTCTCCCATGATACCTCTTTCTGCTTTGCTTTATACTTCTTTCTTGATCTGCCCCTCATGTTTTCAGTCTTTTGATGTTCTGTTGTTACTTCTCTTTCAGTTGAGCTTGTTCTATCTTAAAATTTTCCCTTTGGAATAGAGCTTTAATTACTGAGCAGATGTGTTGTCTTCATTCCGCCTGCTCTAACTGCCTTTATCTCTCTTCTTCATCTTGAATCTTAGACTTTTTAGCTCATTAAGTCATGTGGAGCTAGAACTCTTTGCTAGTTAAAGACACTAAAAAAAAAATATTCTTATCAGATCTTGCTGCAGTTCTGTAAACAAGCTACTTAATCATGCTTTTATGTTAATGCCAAAGAAACAAATAAAAACTGGTTGCACTGTGATTATAAACAAATGAATACAAAATTGCAGTCTAAATATCAAGATAATTTTCCTTCCTTTGTTTTATTTTTTTTCCCATAACACTCTCTGAAACAAGGTTTCACTCTAGAGACTTAAATGAAAGTTAATAATTTATGGAAGAAAATGAAGAAAGTAAAAGAAATTGATGTTGCCTAAAATCCTTCATGGTCCGAATCTAGAGAAAAGGCAGAAGCCAAAATGTAACTGTGAAGGAATGTGCTTAGATACAAAACCTAGGATGTAACTGTGGGAATGCCTTTAGATACAAAAACTGGAATGCAGCTATGTGTTAGTGAAATCTGCAAAAAGCTGGGAATGTCATGCTCAATGTTTGAGAACTCAGGCAGTTGGCAGTGCTTTTCAGAACTATTCTTTTAAAAACTGCTTTTCCTGAGTTTGGGGCCTGATCCAGGTTTTTTTGTTGCCTTTTTTTTTTTTGTTCTTGGATTGAACTCATGTGAACTAGAACGGAATTAGCAAGAGACAGTAAAGCTGTGGTTCTGTGTTCTCTCTCCTCAGTTGCAAAGCTGGCTTAAATTCCTGATCCAACTCGTATTTCCCTGTCTGTCTCAGTTTTTCCAGGAAGAGTTTTTTTTGTGGGATTGAAATGTATCAGATCCAATTTTCCAAAATCCATTACAGAAGACTTCCTGTTACTTTGTTTTTTCCAAGGCAGACTACTACTGGTGAACAGTTTGGCTCTGTGAACACTTATGCTGGAATGACTGAAAGAGTGAGGCACCCCGTGATGGGAGCAAGGGCATCTGTTGCCAGAAATTAGTACAGTCAAGCTCTCGAGGCAACAGCCTGATGAAACAGTGATGTTCGTGAATTCACTGAACAAAGTGTCATCCTTTCTCAGCCTTCTCCTATTTTTTCAGGTAGCAATAAGCAAGGAAGGAGGTGTCAAAGGAAACATCAGCTCTCAAGCAAAAAGAGAGTTTTGCTTTAAAATGCTTCATGAAAGCAACTTCTACTGGCAAATAAAATTTGACTGGCCTGAAAGTTGCAACCAGTCTAGACTAGAGGCAAATGATATAAGCAAGTGTGCCATCTGAACTTACTGCTAAGTCAGTTGACTCACAGCAAATGCTATATTCTTCATAATCTCATTGCAAGGTTATTCATTAAATAGATGTATATTTGCAGGTTTGAGCCAGGAGAGTCACCAAAATAATTACTTAGGAGATTTCATTCAGATTTTTAGTTTCTTTCCTTTGTTATTACCTTCAAACGTATAGACTATTGGCTATGCAAGAATAAAGGAAACCTATTTCAATGTGACAAACATTAGAAGTAATAAAATTTCATCTCAAGTCTTTGTTACTAAGCTATGTGTTTTATCAGTGATGTAATTTTTCTTCTTTTTAGTGTCAAATTTTTTGCAAGCCTTGTGGTTCTTTAAAAGCTATGCTGTTTTATGGTTGAAATTTCAGTGAAATTCTGATGGCAATAAATGGGTTAAAGTGTCCCTGCCCCTTCCACCCAGTCCCAGAGTATTTTTGTGTAACATTTTACAGGAAAACAATTTTTTTTTAACCATGCAGGGCAGCTTTAGAAGAAGTAGAAGGAGATGTGACAGAACTGGAACTGAAACTTGACAAGGTAAGCTTTTTAATTCAACAATGTCTTCTGAAAAATATGTCTTTAGGTTTTGTTTTAAAGTTCACAGCTGGGAAGTGGCAGCAGCCAACCAAGAGTTCTGCTCTCACAGAAGGAATGAGTCTGGGTCGAGTGCACAGCCGGGCCTCAGAGACCCAAGCTTGGGCAACAGCAGGCAGAGCCGGTGTGAGGGTGGTTTCTCCCCTGGCTGAGGGTTTGTGTAACGCCCTCCTGACTCCATGGCCCCCTCGCACTCATGTGACTCAGCCCCACCGCGGGGGCCGCATGCAAACTAGAGCAGCTTTCATGTGAGTTAAAAGCCAGGGGCTGGCCATCCCTGCACTGAGAGCTTATGTTTTATGGCAACAGCACACTGTGAGGACATCTGGATACTCTTTGTATTAGAGATTTAAAGTCGATGCTTTCTGTCTTTGGTAGTCTGCAGCATGGTCACAGCAGGATAGGTCTATATATATCCTTCACTTTCGTCTGGGGGACTTAGGTGTAATTAATCCTGCTTTTTGTCATGCTTTATGTGTGTATATAAAAGGCTATATGCAGCGTTTTTTCAGTGCCTTACAATCCATTTATTGGTTTCCTAACCAGTAGTATTTGGAGGCTTTTGTTCTTTCTTTGTTAGTATTTTGAGGGTGGCTTATTTTTGCTTTACATCTGTAGAAAGTCTCCTTTCCTTAGCAGTTTTTTACTAAATGTTTAAAATTATTTTTTCCTGTGGTTTTAATGTAGGCAGATGTAATTTTTTCCCCTCTTAGCTACTTTTTGAATATGAACTTTTCCTGCAACTGTAGGTTGGCTGCAGAAAGAGACAAAGTCAATGTCAAGTCTGAAGACTTTTTGTTACTACTTGTAATAATATTTCCAGCTTTTGTCGTTAATATAACCATTTTTTCTTCCAAAAGAAATTTAAGAGACCAAATTTTGATTTGGTGTGGATTTCAGTGAAACTGATGGGTATAAGACACTGTAGGGGTGATGAGTCTGTTTTGGTAGGTTAAGGCATGTAAGTATTTAAAGGATCTGAAAAGTCTGTCTTGGATGTTTTTGTTTTCCACCAGTCTTAAAGGGGTCATCTTTAGGGAAAATAATTCTCAAATTCCTTGAGGGGCATTATTCAGGGCCTTGCCCCAGATCCCTTGCAGGAGGCCAGTGCCAAATATACTGTTCTGTTGTGTAAAAACTGTAATTGTAGTATTACTCTTTGCCCTGAGACAGTGTTCTAGTACTCTTTAAAACAAAACCAACCAAACCCATTTGCTCCCCTGACAAGAAAGCAAGTACACAAGGTAAATATTTAAGTAGTTTAATTGTAATGTGAAGTATAAGTGATCTATCTAGTATAATACTTAAGTTGAAAGCCAGGCTTCTTGTGTGAGCTGAAGTAACTATTGCCTAGGGATAGTGATTTGTTTAGGCTTGGTTGCTCAGTTATTCATACTAAACTTAGTTTTATTGTCCCACAGTTGTGACTTTGGGCTACATCATCTGCATTTTCTTCCCTTCTGGAAGAAAGGATGCTGGGTTCAGTATTATGAACCATAAGCAAAAGTGAAGGGGAAAAAAAGGGTCATGTTGGTAGTGATTTTTTTCTGTCCATTGTTCAAACAACTTGTCTGTTCATCAGAATGTGGGAGATGATGCTCAGATTTCTTCTTTTCTTAAGAGGATCTGAGTCAACATAAGAAGTACTGGCTAAATAAGGCAGAAAGGTCACTTGGGTGGTTTCCTTGCCCCAACATAGAATCAAGTACTTCTGTGTTGTTCTTCATGAAAATTTGTCTGACATCCTTGAAAAATCCTTCAGAGACCAAGGTTCCATCTTCTGATTTTATTCTGTTTGGTTTAGGGTGGGGGAACTCAGAATATGCCTTCTCTCAAGAGAGCATCTGAGTGATTGCAATCATTCTGTCTTTCATTAATGGCCCAGTGCATAAATAGTTCAAAAAGTGGGAAAACATCCATCACAAGATACTGATGGCCTTCGTATCAAACTCTGCAGTACCATGATAGCTAAGGTGCTGGCATAAGCAGTGAGTGGTAGGGATGGAAACCCATCAGAGAAAGACTAGTCTGTTGTAGGAGTGAAAACGTGATTGATTTCACCTTCTGAGGTGTAACCATCTCTCTTCAGTTGTGCTTTGTGCAGGTAGCCCCTTGCTTTCCTGTGCCTGTGTACTGAGCGTCTGAAGATGAAACAACTCGTGTGGGTTTCTTTTGGGGTTTTTTGGCTCGAAAACCACAAAACACTTAAATTACTTGGGTTCTAACCAGTTATGTTTTAGTTGCTGTGCTGTTTGCCCTCATACAGCCCTCTCTTGAAATATGTGAAAATCTCAGTTAACAATAAAACAAATTAAAAAAAAAAAAAATATAGAGAGTAGTAACCTTCTCAATGGCATATCAATTGATGTAGAGTAGTCTTTTTATAGCTATCACTACAATAAAAAGCTTTTTATAAAATGTGAGGCTCTGTAAATTTAGAATTTAGCTTCTGAAATCTTTGTTTCTTAGACTTGACTAAGCTCAGTGTATTTCATGTTTATATAGTGGTATAAAAAACAAGACCAAAAAAAAAAAAAACCCAAACAAAAAACTTCCACCTTGTCATTTTTTCCTCTGTTTAGCTGGTGAAGCTTTGTATTGCGATGATTGACACTGGGAAAGCATTCTGTACAGCCAACAAGCAGTTCATGAATGGAATTCGAGACCTTGCACAATATTCCTGTAAAGATGCATTGGTTGAGGTAAGTTCTTTAAGAGGTGAAAACGGAAGGAGAAAAGCATGACTTAGAAAGGGTAAAATGTAACAGTTGGTAAGAGAAGTAGTTGACATTTTTACTATTATTTGCCTTTTTGCTTCTTTTTCTTTAAGATGTCTTAAGAGTGAGCTTTTTTGACTGTGGTGCACTGCAAGTGTCTGTGCTGTTTAGTTTCAGCTTTTACCTGCAATGGCAAGGATTTTCCAAATTCCAGAAAATATGTATTAGGTTAGGAATAGTTGTCTTGGGAGGAGCAGAAAAAGTCAGGTTGAAGCTGTGAAGAGCTGCCCTGTTTACTTTGCTAAATAAAGGGGTTCTAGTCATAAGATTCTAAGAGCCAGTTCTCTGCAATTGATCTCTTGGGTCCTGGAACTCGCACTCTCTAATACATAGAAATTTAAGTTTTCAAAGATACAGAGCCCACTTTGATGGTGTAACCTCAGGCTGATGTCTTGTTAGACTAATCTGGAACACCTAATATTTCCTGCCTATGTTACTTTGAAGTGAGGTATGAAAATGTGTAATATGCAATACATAATTACATGCACATCTCTGTATATCATCTATGATTAATGTGTTTTATGCAATAGAACATCAATTGCACGTATGCATCTTGACACACTAGTTGAAATAAGTTGTGCCTCTGAACTTCAGTGTAGTCTGTGTGCAACTGAAACAGCTGTTGTCCGGAAATTTACCTGCTAGAAATGTAGTGCCATGGCAAACTAGTAAAACTGACCTTACTTGATTCCAAGTAGGTTTTTCTTACACCTGTTATGCAAGCAATAAGCAGTTACCCAAATATACTGGGGATTGTTGTTTTTTAACTGTTTGAGATACTGATTCTACAAATAGATGTTGCTAAGCACATCAGCTGTGAGGCAGTAGTTCCTACAGTAAACGTGTGTGTACTGAGGATTACAACATGTTATCCAGGTTTTTGGAGTTGGAGTATTAAATGTTAATAAACATTAAGTAGTGTAATATTAAATATTGTAAATTAATGTGTTAAATTATGAACTTCCCATAGTTTAGTGAACCTAATTTGAGTTTTTCCTGCTTTGCTTCGGTTTGGTCCCTTATATATAGGTAGGTAACAGTAACATTTTTGTTGCTTGTAGTTTTAATGGATTTACTTGATGTTGCCCTTATGTTCTTCTTCTAGAATAATGGTTTTAGTTTAATAATCCTGCTAAGGAAAATCAATTCCCAAGTTCTTTACTGCAAGGCTGTAAACCTCTGAAATGTTGCTTTTGTGCTGTGTATTTGGTAGGGCTTAACTTAAAGCACTTTGTTTTTCTCTTTACAGAGCAGCTTGACAAAGTTCTCTGACACCTTACAGGAAATGATCAATTATCACAATGTAAGTATTTCTAGCTAAAACCTGACGCTGACAGCTTACTTCCAGTTATGATTGATAACAGAATAATGCTAAAGCTTTTGTTGTTGGTAGTATATGCAAAGTCATGGTTTAAGTGGTATTAAATACCTCTCATTTTATGCTTATAAATATACTTTGTTTAGGAAGTATTTATAAATATCCCCTTTTTTGCAGATTTTTGTCTTGCTTTATTTTGTGTTTGGAATTTGTAAGCTTTGCTAAAACTCAGTGCTGGAAAACACAGTAAATACTGGATTGTTTCATCTTTTTTAGTCTAACTGATGGGCAACAGTGACAAACTATGAGCATATTTCTTTGCTGGACTGAAACAATGATTACCTTTTCCATAACTTCTACTTTTTTTCCCCATCCTTTATAATGCACAAAGTAAAGCATCTCTGATTTGTGTGTAGTTTTCTTTGAAGTATGACAGATTTAGACACATGTAGAGAAAGGAGAAAATGCTAGGATTTAAAATAATAGTGATTTTTTTTTTTTAGCATGTCAGACTTCATCAGAAAGCTCAGTTTTGCCTGCATTGAAAACGGATTTATTTTTTTCCTCCAAAGAGTTTAGTTTTGTATCTTGAAAGCCGAAGGGATGTGTTCATTCTTCTTTCTTTCTCTTCCCTTGGCCTCTACTGCTTTTCTTTTGTTTTCAGAAAATTGCTGGAAAAGGAAAGAAAAATTGCCAAAAGGTGCAAACATAAAAAGTAATGTTCTGATGTAGAGCTTTGCCAGACATA